CCCGTCCGCTCAGCCGTACTTAAGCCACACGCCGGGAGGTTAGTAGTTGGGTGGGTGACCACCAGCGAATCCCTCCTGTTGTATGTTTTTCTTTTTTATTATCCATTAGTGCTGCTTTCTTTCTCTTCCGCCCTTCGCCTAAAAGCTTTCTGTTCCGTAGGTGAATACATTGATGGCAAGATGTGTCGTTGCAGTCACCTCCATGTGGTCCGGTCTCGAGCATATCTTCTTTAAGCAGGGTATTTCGAAGAGAAGCCAAAAAAAAAAAAAAAAGGAGGTTCAAATATAGATAAGGTGCAGCATTGATTACTGGATTGGCGTAGGACAAGCCGCTTTCTTACCGAATCGATTTCTTGAAACTACGCTCCTTAATATATCTTGTTTGATCGGTCGAGCCTCCAAAGTAAACAGACACGTCCGACCTGATATTTGCAGTATACCAAGGTAAACGAGGGCTAACCATGTAATAAATGTGATCATGCTACGCAACAGTGTTTCCATTCTAAGTCGTGTGGGGGTATAGAGGAAACACTTGCGGCCCTAGCGATCTTTCTTGGCTATAAACTTCATCCCATTTCCACTGAAGTTGTTCCGGGGTCATCCACGCGTTCTCAGGATCCTTCAGCCATAGTCGTAAGAAATGTCGCCTGTTATATATATTTTTTAGCGGACATATACCACGTGATTTCGGATAGAGGGGACGTACTTCTGCTGAGGTCCATCTTTATAACCTCTTCTAGCATGTAGGATGCTCCAATTATTGAAGAACTGCATGTCTCCCTTCTGCAGCTTCATGGATATGTGGAACCTTTCTGCTAGGAAGTGGAGGGCATCAAGCGCCTCGGCCTGCCTCACAGAAAGTAGTCTCGTTCGCTTGAGGTTGCCAAAGCCCGTCAACCACCTTCTTGAAAAATTGATCAACAGTCTCTCGGGTGTTGTTCCCGATGAATTTTGGTGGAATAACAGAGGCCGGGGGAGAAAGACACCCTCCTCTTTTGAACTAGGACAAGTGTGTCAGACTTGCTCACCTTGCATAGAGAAGAATCCAGCAGGGTTGTACGAACCTCACGATTGGCCAGTCACTGGCCAAAGCCTGAATGATATCAGGCCTTGTTCTTGCAAGCTCGTTATAGACCGTCCAAAGGCTTGCTAATTGGCTATCACCCCCTTCGGCTGGTTCGCCTAATGCGAAAAGAGATACTATATCTCCAATATCTGAGTGGAATGGGATATCTTCATTAGTATAGCCGGCAAGTCTGACTGAGAGAGTTGGGTCAGAAGGAGGCCTCATATCGGTGATATGCATAACAACAAGGTTTGCAGGACGCCCATCATACTTGCGGCCCTGACGGCCACGGATGCGGCCTATATGAGAAGAGACGCCAGTATATATTATCATATTCTCCTCCGCCGAATAGCGATCAACGGGAATGCCCCTAATCAGGGAGAATCCAGTGCCTGTGTGAATATTACCCGATATTCTGCGCAGGATGGAATGTAGCGATGGCAGGGGAAAGGTGGCAGGGCTCAGAAGCTCCAGTGGCTTCCCTAGAGCTGTGTCGATGAACTTTCAGCCTCCTTTCTAAATGTAAAGAGCATGAATGTGATTGGGGTACAAGCCGCCTTACCTTTAAAATGCTGCAGGGCATCATCGATTTCCTTCAACTGGGAATCTTCCAAAGTCAATATATAGTCGTCCTCGTAGGACGAAATATTGTCCCTGTCCCAAGCCATTTTTGAGGATATGTGGGTTGGGAACCCCTCTGGTAGAACAGCTGCGTCGATTTCATCTTGCGGAACCGATCGTGCTCGGGCTTCGTATTCCGCACGGTCTGGAAAATAGGGCATACTCTCAACATTCTGATCCATATTGTAGACTTGTATCTAACAGAGGAGAAACACAAAGGGAGGACAGAAGACAGACAAGGATCCTACTCACACGTGGGCGTCCTGCCACAAGATAAACTCTTATACTCCAGCTGAGAGTAGGAGCTTGAACCTACCATGCCACATTATGCACGATTCAGCTGCGGTCAATCATTGTACCCCTCTATTTGTGGGGGCAACATATCAAAACAATCATCCACCTCGTCCCCCCGCCTTTGTCCAATAGCCCCAGGAATCGAGTCCATTCATGAAAATCACTACAGTGGCTCGTCTACTGTCAATTTCAGGGCAGGCGATATCATTATCTTGCCGAGAGCTATAATAACAATCAGCTGCAAATTAAAGCTATGAAAAAAAAAAAAAAAAAAGGATACCCCATCGGTTCAAACTCATAACTTAAGTTTAGGCTAGCTAGCGATCGGCAATCATCAACACCTCTTTTGGAAGACTTAAGTGGCGGCAATGTCAATTAGTGTCCAACTACTGAGATGTTGCGTAGGGTGCTAAAAGATCGTGAGTGGAGCTATCAGGGCCATTGTGTCAAGGGTGGTCCTATGATATGTTGTATAAAGCTGACAAGATTTGTTGAAAAGAAATGATATACAACCACACCTATAGGGATCAGCACGATCTCCTGGCACCCTACCATAGTAGATACGAAAAGTGGATTCGAACTCATTCATCGTGGATAATAGATCTGGATGGAAGCCAAGTGCTTAAAAATCTTAAAGATTTGGCCGATATTACCTAACAGTTACAGAGCCCAGCTAGCGCTATGGGTACGAGCCCAGCAGGTATGGAAGCAATACAGGTACGTGCTGAATAAGTTCGCACGGTGCTCTATGCTTACCAGGTCAACGTATTCTAACTCTATCAGCAAACCCGTTATGGTATCCGAAAAGATACTACCCAGAAAAAGTAATCCATGACTGGTATTCGAAATATCACTTCTATTGCCTAAGAGGAGTAGACTGAAATGTGTAAAACTTACTGGAATGTGAGTTAAGAGTGCTCTTCTTAGGCACTATATACCGAACCGACTCAACTTTCCAATCCAGTACTGCGACTCCTCCATAGGTTGGCTGCACATTGTGTTTGGAAAAGCCAGTAAAATTCACCAGGTTGAATCTCCAAATCACTTCGCAACCGCCTTGCGTAATGAACAGTCGGATAGCAAGGTATGTTATTCTCTTCCTATATTGCCACAGCCATCGCTGACCATAAAACAGGAACATAAGCAGCAACTTCTCAACGATCTCCCCAAGTGCGGTGCAGATCTCAAGGAAAAGCAAGTCGTGTTGGAGAAGAATTGGGCGGAAGCAATTGAAATCTATGAATTCTATGCAAGTTCCAGTGCGTCCGGTGTATCTACTGCCGGGGAACGAATTGATGACTAGAGGACACATTTTGTGTTAACGAGCATATCTGCTATTCAGGGCAGAAGACCTGTCAACAGCTACTTAATGACTTACTGCTTTATAGCTCACAGATTTCTATTCCTTTAGTGTTTGACCTAGATTACCAGGTAATACCCAATACCGCCGACTTAGGAGACCCGTAATTGTAAAAAGGCCCAACTGCTGGCCATGAACTAATGATCTGCTTGGGAATTTAGATAAATCACTTCATAGTACTTTACATTGTCCGGAACCTCAATCTAGTTGGCCGTTAGACTGGCCTTTTACGGGAGGCTGCCATAGATCCATAAATGGGTCATCGAGTCTTGACCTTCCGGGTAAGTTCCACTTTACGATTCTTGACCTTTTCAGCAGTGTCTTCTAGAATATACTGTCAGAGTTCACTCCGCCTGTTCCCGACACTGCACCATGTAGTCATCTGCAGCAGTAAAAAGCAGCCCCATACCGAAGAAAACGGCAGCACCAATCAGCCCACACTTTTCATAGCCCAGGAGCTTGCAGACTGACCATACAAGACCACTACAGCTCACTTGATAGGCGATTCGAGTAACAGTCACGATATATCAGTTAGTTTGGTTCAATAACGATAGTCTATAACACTCACCTATGTCTACTGCTGGACATACTGCAGATGAGCCTGCTAAATACTTGGGATGCTCCTTGATGATTCATAGCACAGGTTTGATTTGGCAGCTTCTCCGCACGACGTAAGAGAGGTAGTCTCGGAGGCGTTCTCCATGATGGATGATGACGATAACTCTATCTTTATTGCGATCTCGGGCGTGTGAGTAGGTTGAACTATAGGTTTGTAAAGGTCAGGTGCAGATACATTGTAGGCAGCAGTGCCATTCATGGATTCTAAACCATGTCCTGTGATGAATCAGCATCTCCTTCATAAAGTGACCTACAAGGATTAGCGCGTACCACCTCATACTATTGTTACTGCGTATTCTGCACTTTGCTTTTATGTCCCTTGAACAATGTTTGTATGGCCCTGGTAGGTAGAAAAGCAGGCGTGTTTCTTGTGAAATGGTGGTAACACTGCAGTTGATCCTACACATGAGATCAGCTATAATTCTTGGCACTAAGGTTTGCTCTGATGACAAAACATTACTCAGTTTATAATTCTTAATACTTACGTGTTGCGAAATGCGGCTTGGTGGTGTTTTGAAAATCCATGTCGGACTACTGAAGTGAGATCAGAGGGGATGGTAGTGGTAGTGGTAGTGGTAGTGGTAGTGGTAGTGGTAGTAGTGGTGTGGTCAGACAAACCCTACTAAGGCCTGAGGTACATACTGTACATCCCTGTCAGCCTTTCTTTGTTCACCCACACTCTTTTAAACCCCCTCAACCTGCGCTCCCTTCCATATCCAACTTCCCCCTTTCCATTGATCTATCGACGCTGTATCTTCTTCTTCTTCTCTTTTCTTTTTTTCTTTTCTTTTCTTTTTTTTTTTTTTTTT